AGGCACGCGTGGACTTCATCAAAACTTTTAAAACTCCTGCACTTTGGAGACAATGCTAAGAAAATGAAAAGACAAGAGGCTTGGAGAAAATATTTACAAGACATGTATCTACTACAAGACTTTTATCCAGAATGTATGAAGAGCCCCTACAGCTCAATACTAAGATAATTAACCCAATTCAAATGGGCAAGAGACCTGAATAGATACTTTTCCAAAGAAAACATGCGTAAGGCCAGCAAGCATGTGAAAAGACTCACCATCATGAGTCACCAGGGAGATCTAATCAGAACCACAGTGAGAAACATTTACATTTATTAGAACACTCGCCCCACATAAAAAACAATCTAGAACACACAATTTCCACTAGTCTGTATAGAACATTCACCAAGAAAAACCATATTATGGACCAGAAAACAAGTCTCAGTGTGTGTTCTCTGACCAGACTGAAATTACAGCAAAAATCGATGGCAGAGATATACTGGAAAATATCCAAATATTTGAAAGTTAAATAACAGACTCCCACATAACCAATAAATCAAAGAAGAAATCATGAGGGAAATTAGAATGGAAAAATACGTCTAATTGAATGAAAATAAAAACACAGCCTATCAAAATTTGCAGGATCTATAGCAGTGCTTAGTGGAAACTTTATAAAAATATTAAAATCTTGATTCTTACTTCAGAAGACCTATGGACCTGCCCCCTTCCATTCTCAATCAGCAGTACCACACATGGACAAAAACCTGAGAGTGACTCGTGGCCCCTCCACCTCCTCATTCCATGTCCATCACCTGGTGGCTCTCGCCCGGCACATGGGTGATCCCGTAACATACTGGTTGGTCACTTGGTTCCCCATGTAGCAGCCAGGTGATCCTTTCTGAAAAGGAAATTGAATTGTGTTGCTCTCCTGATCTAATCTCTCCAATGACTTCTCATTTCACTTAAAACAAGGCTGAAGCCTTTCTCACGGCCTCCTTGATTCCCCAGGATCTGGCCAATCACCTCTCTGGCTTCCCCTTATCGGTCCTCCCCTCACTCACTCTGGTCCATGCCACATTTCCACCCCAGGGCCTTTGCATTTGCCATTCCCTGTCCCGGGAACACTCTTTCCTCAGATATTTGCCTGGCCTGCTTTCTCATTTCATTCAGATGTCTTCTTAAACATCTTTTAGGGGAGGAATACCCTAAAATAGCAACCTGTATTGCCTAGTTAGTCATCCGTTGCTGCATAACGAATTACCCCCAAACTCAGCATTTACAACTACAATAAACATTCATTGTCCCTCACAGTTTCTGTGGTCAGGAATTCTCGAGCAGCTTGACAGGGTGGTTCAGGCTCAAGGTCTCCCGTGATGTGACAATCAAGATGTTATCCAGGACTGCGGTCATCTGAAGGCTCGGCTGAGGCTGGAGGGCCTCTGGAGTCTCGGAGTCAGTGCTGGCTGCAGGCAGAGGCTCCTGACATGGGGTTACTCTCCACACTGGCATCTCCCAGGACTGGTGAATGTCCTCAGAGCATGGCAGTTGGCTGGCTTGCCCCAAAGCAGATGGCCTGAGACAGACAGTGCCAGGGGGAAGCTGTCCTTTCTAAACCTCACCTTGGACATCACACACCATCACTTCTACCACATTCCATTCAGTAGAAAATTCACCAAGTCCAGTCCATATTCAAGGGGAGAGGCATTGGGCCCCCCTTGAAGGGATGCATATCAAAGAGATCACAGAATGTGAAAACCAGCACATGGCACCATCACGCTCTACCTCCTACTCTGATTTCTCTTCCTTCGGAGTATGTAACGCTGCACTACGTGGCCTAAGGTACTTGTCTAAGTCTCCCACTGCTGCACCCCTAGTACTTGGAGCAGTGCCCAGAACATAGCAGGTGCTCAGCAAATGTCTGTTGAGTGAACTGAAGCTCAGTCTTGTCCACAGTGGGGTCCACAGTCATCCCTAGGGGACTTTGTGATGTTGGGAAGATGGCCTTAGGGGAAAGTGGGACTTGACAAATCCGAGAGGGTGGGAGCAGGGACAGGAGGGATCTTGTGGTGCTGGAGGCAGGCAGTAGAACCAGGTGGATCAAGGTGTGCAAGGGGAAATCTGCAAGAGAGCAAGCTAGCATCATTGTTGTCTGAAGCATGGCTCTGTGAGAGTCCTCAGGCCTCCCCAGATCAGGGGACGGAGAGCCTGACTCCATTCAGAGTCCATGTCTGACAGCCAGCCCCATTTCCCCGGTCCTAATTTGGAGGCAGGCCTTCACAGCAGGAGAACACCAGATGCAAGTGCATCCTCTGCACCCTAAGCTGGCCATGGGCAAGGCACCTGCAAAGCTTCTGCCCTCTCCTCCCTTGCTGTCAGCTTCCTCCTCTCCAACTGGTTTCTTCTTGGCAGAATGTGTTCACAAGTGGCTCTTGAAGCCCCAGTTCTCAGGGGTTCACCTCCAGACAGGATTAGAAATGGGTTCTTGGCCCAGTTTCTGACCCAGCCAAAATCCCAGGGAAGAACCCTGAGTAGTCTGCTTGGGTTTTGTGACCACCCCTCGGCCAGTCTGCCAATCGACTGAGGCTTAGGAGGGCTGTGCCTGTGACTGACTGCCCCTTCTGGAGCATGGTTGAGGGGGGAGAAGCTCCCTCCCCAGGAGTACCTCCCTCTCCACCCAGGCCTGTGGCGCCACCCCAGGCCCCTGAGTCCTCCCTACAGAATTTGGCTGCAGAGGATTCAGAGGGGTCCAAGTCCAGGCAGGTTCATCTGTCTTATCAGGGCAAAGCAAGACCCAGGCCCTCTGTGGCTGCACCCCTCCCCCCTTGAGGGGAGAAGCCCACAAAGTAAAATGGAGGGCAGAGCCCAGGAGGGGACTCAGTCATGGGAAGGGGCTGAGGTCTGGTGGGCGGTCACAGCTTCCGCCCCAGCCCTGAACGTTTGGAACCTGTGCCCAACACTCGAGACAAAAGCATGAGCACCGGCAGTCTAGGGGAGGCGGTGGTATGCTGCAAACTCACAGTCCACAGGGGAAAAATAAGCGCTGATTTGCAGGGTTTGATGATTTCCCTGGTGTAACTGCTTCCACCATAGCCAGTTTCAAGCTCCCAGCTGCGTGAAAACCTGCTCGCGGATTTCTGAATATTTAGAAACTGCCTCTCCAGGGCTAGCAGGAGCTGCTCCAGCACCCAACTGGCAGATGGGGGTAGATGGGAGGGGCCCGGCTGTCTGGCTGCAGCCCCCTGCTGAATTCTTTCCTCCCTGAAGTGTTCTGGAGCTGTCTGGGCCACACCAGAGCTGGCAGCCTGCCCTCATGCACCCACACGGCCTCCAAGCGCTGACCTGCCACAGACCACAGGCCACAGACCCTGTGGAGGTGGGGCTGGCTCTGGGCTCCCAAACACCCCCCAATATATCCTTCTGTGAGCCCACGGGGGAGTAAACGTGTCGAGGGCTGATGTTCCTTCCACTGTGGACCTCAATCCTGGAGCAGAGAGGGGGTGGGCCTGCAGGAGGCTACTGGTAGGTTAGCCCCCCAGCAATGATTCCCTCGCATTGAGAGAGAAGGGGTCGAGAAAGGGAGCATGCCAAGAGCCAAGGCCCTGCCTCTCAGAACCAGGGATATCCCTTGGTGTCTGTGTTTGGCTCTGGGGGGTGGGGCGGGGGGTCAGCCTAGTGGTGAGAACTGCAGGGAGACAGGGAGTGGGATCCGGAGGGGAAGGGAGTGGCTTCTCCCCTCTCTGCTGCTCAGAACACCACTTAGGTGTGGGGACGGCCCTGCTTCATCCCTACTGGGGGCTTTTGCAGTTGGGTTTGCAGAATCCTCAGTTGCTATTGGAAACAATGATGTCACTGGCAGGGGGCGGAGCTTCAGCCATCCTTTGAGTTAGGGAAGTGAAGCACTCTCCAGGGGTGTGGGGACAAAGAATTAGGATCCTGAGGGTGAGAGGGACAAGGGAGGCTCTGGAAAGGGGCAGGAGGGATGGGGGCTGGGAGTGAACTAGGAGAGGAAGAGTAGGGGAAGAGTAGAAGCAGGGGATATTGGATGTCTACCCTGGCACACACCTCACCGGAGCCAGGGCTTTCTGATGTCTAACCTTGGTCCCATCCGCTACAAACACAACTCCCTCTGGCTTTGGCTTCTGCATAACTGATTTGGGTCCAGACCCCAGACTCCGCTGGAAGACCCAGCTCAACATGGGGGCAGCCGCTGTCACCCTTTCTATTCTTCTCAACCCTCTGGGGGGAGTCCAAGTCACATGGCCAGGCAGATGGAGTCTCTCTCCCATTTTTGAGCTTTTTGGAGAGGGGAGTCCCACTCCCTCCCCCAGGGGCATGGCTTAGGGCCTCTCCACACCCCTGGGTCTCCAGCCAGCAGAGTCAGGCCCCTAAATATCGTTCGTTGACTATGGGTGAGGACTCGTGCGCGCGCGCGCGCGTGCACACACACACACACACACACACACACACACACACGCCAGGACACATTTGGTCATGTTAAAAGACACGCAAGGCTGCCGCAGGGACACGAACCCCTCTAACCTCTCTAAACTCATCTCCCTGCAGGTCACTGTCACACCCGCGCGTACACGCACACGCGCGCACAGCCTCCCCCCTACCCCTCGTGTGCTCTGATAAATGCTCGCACCAACGCAGGCGCACACTCTGGCGCGGGAGGCGCCGCTCCGTGTTGGGAAGCGGGGGCGGCGGGAGGGGCAGGAGACGCTGGCCCCACTCGCGGCTCCGCAGCTTCCGCGGTCGCCGCAGCGTCGGGACCAGGACCAGCGAAGCCCGCGAAGGAGCCGCGGCTGCGACGAGCTCTCGGCGGCGCCAGGCGCCTGGAGCAGCACCCGGACCCGCTTCAGCACCGCGGACAGCGCCAGCCGCTCCCGCGGCCGTGGGACCCCCGCGTGCCCGGCACAGCGCCCGCCGACCGAGGGCTCGGGTGCCCTCTTCCCTCCCGCAGACGTCCGGGGACTACGGCTCCGGGGGAAGACGTGGCGCCCCCAGCCCGCGGGATCGGGCGCGCCCAGGACGGCCGGGACACCCCGCTGGGGATGCGCCGAAGGCCCCGTATTCGCGCTGCCCAGAGCTAGGGCTCTGCCCGGAGCCCATGAGCACCATGCGCCTACTGACACTCGCCCTGCTTTTCTCCTGCTCCTTTGCCCGCGCCGCGTGCGACCCCAAGATCGTCAACATCGGAGCTGTGCTGAGCACGCGGAAGCACGAGCAGATGTTCCGTGAGGCGGTGAACCAGGCCAACAAGCGGCATGGCTCCTGGAAGATCCAACTCAATGCCACCTCCGTCACCCACAAACCCAACGCCATCCAGATGGCCCTGTCGGTGTGCGAGGACCTCATCTCCAGCCAGGTGCCCACCACCCCCCACCAGGGCTCCCGCAGCGCAGCTCTTACCCCTCCCCCCACCGCCTCCCCACCATCCTCCCTCTTCTACCCTTCATCCCTCCTACTGTCCCAGTTTCATCCCACTCTTTCCTAGCCCTCTTAAGAGAGGACCCTGAAGCGAGCTGGCTCATGTTGGAAAGGGCTGGTCTCACTAGCAGCCAAACACCAGTTCCCCATCTTGCCGCATCTTGCTTCCCACCCCCCCACTGGTCACCTGCCACCCTGGTCAGTCCTCACAAGGTTCCAGGGCTCCAGGTCCTGACCCATGTGTGCAGACGCGTGGCAAGCATTTCATGGTTTGTTTCATCACTGTGTCGGTGAGGGGTGGGTATCCTGGGCTTATGGGCAGAAGTGCTCTCCCAGCCCCAAGCACGCACTGTGCGCAGGTCTTTAAACAGGATGGGGCCTGGGGCCATCTTTGTCTCTGCTTCTAGACCTCCTTCCCTTCCTCCCTCCCCTCCCCCCATCCATGGGTTTGTCTGAGATGGGAAATGACCCAGGTGTTGAAGCAGAGTGTTCTGGAGGGTGGGAGCAGGGACTGTGCATGTGGGAGGTGTCCGGCACAGCGTGGGATCCGCTGACTACCAGCGCTGCGGGGGAGGACATGACTCCTAGGATTTTGCCTGTCAGAGCTGTCCGCCCCTGTGCCGTGCTGCCTGCTGAATTCCAATGAATCCACGGGATCACTGCAATGCAGCCCTTTATGTAAGAGTCGGGACCGACACTGGGCCAAATGATGCTCATCCTTGCTCACCTGCCAGACACAGCACATCTCTGGACATCGGTGGATGGGCACACTCACGCATGCATGCATTCACATCTGTGTTTATGCACAGAGATGCCTAGACTTACATTAGCACACACTCATGCACATCAGCATTACACAATCGATTGCACATGCTCACTCACACACATCTGCCCAACACACATGCACAGCCATGGACACACACGCTCATGGGCCACACAGTGCTTGGCACACCCAGGCGCACATGCAAACAGGGGCTCAATCATGCACACACATGCACATACATATAAGGACATGTTGGGGCATACATTTGTACACACGCATATTCCAGCACACACTTGTGAACACCTGTATGATCAGACACTCACGCAGACACAGCCTGGGCACTTTTGGGTGCAGACTGGAGGTGAGGACCCGGGAAGGGATAGCCAGTCCAAACAGCTCCAACTGCAGAGGCTGGGGCTGAGCTTTGCTCAGAAATCTCCCCCTCCCACCTCACAAGCCACCTCCATGCTCCCAGCCCCGAGCACGAGAGATAAGACTGGGTGAAGTCTTCGTGGCCAGCAGCTTAGGTCACGTGTCCCATCTGGGATGAGGGAGAGACGTGAAGAAGAGGAATTAGAGGGTCCGGGTAGGGCCCTTTCTGGGGTCCCCTCCTCCCACTCACAGTTGTGCCGTCTGTGAGCATTGTTCCCTCAGAGAACAGCCAGTGCCGGGAGCAACGGTGACGGTGACGGCAGCAGCTGCCCCTCGCGGGGCGCACCCTATGGGCGAGGGCTGTGCTAGCTTGGCATCCGTTGCCCCACGTATGGGGCTGGAGCTTGCCACCCCCCACCACATGAGCAGGAAGAGGTGCGCCCTGTGGCTCACAGACTGGAAGGCGGAGTTGGGACAGACACAGGTCCTTCTAACGGGGGGGTGGCAGGGAGTTGCCAAGCCGTCTGCTCCCTGCCACCACCGTTCCCCTGCCTTGGAGGACTGAACCACCGGCTTCAGACCTGCCTGTAGGGGCCGTGGTCCAGGCAGGAAGGCTAGGCTGCCCGCCCCTCCCCAGCACTCTCCTTTCTCGAGGACGTGGTCAGTGCTCAAAGTCAGGACTGGGTCTGGTTCAAACTAGGCTGAGCTCAGCGGGCCCCTGGAAGACACCTGCAGGACTGAGGGCACCCGTGACTCCTTGCCTGGCTTCTCCCGACAAAGCTCCATCTGCAGTATTAGATGCAGACCTTTGGGAGCAGCTTGCAGTTTCTGGAGCACTGGCCTCCACGGCCAGGAGGGACAGTGGGTGTGCTCGTCAGCATGATGCGGAACCAGCCACTCTCGCCGGCCCGTGCTGGGGGCGATGTGTACCTCCTGAGACAACCCGAGAACAGTCTCTGCCTTCCCTTTCAGGGTCTCAATACACATCCCAGGACAGTCCCTCCAGTGTGAGGGGCCAAGGGAGGCCCCAGGCAGGGGAAGTGCGGGGAGGGGTCTGTCATCTCCCTGTGTGTCCTGTTTGCCCCCGGAGTCTTGCTCTGCCTCTGACTCACTCACCCCTTCAGTTGTTGTAGACTCTGAGGATGGTTCTAGGGTCTTGTCCCCTTGCCTGGGGGTGTGTACCCCTTGGGCTGCATGTGTGCACGAACGGTGCCCCTGGATACCCCCACCCCTGGCCTGCTGAGTTCAGCCTCCACTGCTTCTGGGCAGCCAGCTCCAGTGCAGTGCCCATCCCACCCTCACCCCCCACTTGAGCTGACCCTGTCCCCTGTGTCCACAGGTCTACGCCATCCTAGTTAGCCACCCACCTACCCCCAACGACCACTTCACTCCCACCCCCGTCTCCTACACAGCCGGCTTCTACCGCATCCCCGTCCTGGGGCTGACCACCCGTATGTCCATCTACTCAGACAAGGTAAGCCTGACCACTCAGTGGGGACCCAGCTGGCTCTGTTCCTGTGTTCAGACCCAGTGGCTGAGTCCGGCAGCCCAGGGCCACTGGCAGCTACCCTGGGGAGAGGGAGGAGGGCGGAGGCACAGAGGCACTCAGACCATGGGCTCTGGGCTCGAGGAGCAGCAGGGTGAGACGTGAGCTCATGCATTCATGCGTGTTCACACACTCATACCCATACACAGAGCCTTAGACACACACAGACTCACTGACACGCACGCACATACACACCGATACACATTATCCTAGCATGCAAACTCAGACTCACACAGATTCACGGATACAAATAAACCCATACCTTCACACCAAGTTCACGTGCACACACAAACATATTCCCATGAACAAACACTCAGGTACTCTTACACACATTCACACATATGCACACACACCCACACCATACATGCTCTTACAATACCTTCACACCAAGTTCACGTGCACACACAAACACATTCCCATGAACACTCAGGTGCTCTTACACACACTCTCACACATGCACACTCACACCATACACACTCTTACACTCACACTCACATACACCAACGTGTTCACCCTCCCACACACTCATGCTCCATCACACACACACTCACAGGCACACTCATGCACTTATACTCATGCCCACACACACACATACACTCACTCTGGCAAGCGACAGGCACCAACAACAAGCCCTCGGAAGCAGCAGAGGTTCCCGTGGCCGGGAGAAGGGACAGACAGGTGGATTTTGGAGAGCTGGAGGGAGCACTGTCAGGGTAGGAAAAGCCTGGAAGGGGTGCACCAGACAGCCATGAGGTTTGGGTCCCAGCCTTTCCCGCTGCAGGGCACAAGTGAAAAAGATGTCCGCATGTGTGCAGGGTAATGGAGGAGGCAGTTCATGGCAGGAAAGGCTATACTGGGGTCTGCAGGCCCTGGGGCTGCAAGCACCAACACTCAGCAGCATATAGGACTCTTGTGGCCCCCGGGTGGGGAATGGGGGTCTGGCTGGAGCCATGCAATCCTGGAACAGCAGCTGGAGGAGCCAAGAGGTCACCGAGCTGGTATCCCATAGAGGTGGGGAACTCGTTCTAGGCCACACAGCTCTCCCACAGCAGATGCTGTGGGAGATCCTGGGACGACTCATCAGCTGGGGAAGCCAAGAACCACCAGGAGGCTGGGAGGGCCCCACAGCCTGCTCCACATCTTCCTCCAGACCTTGGGCTACATGCATACAGATCAGGAGGGGCCAGAGGAGGGGCTGTGTGCTGGGGGCTTCCCAGTCTCTCATCTCCTCCAAGTCCATCTTGCTGGGAGTCCACAGTTCTAGATAAAGCTGCCTAAGGCATGGAGGTCATCCCAGCCAGGGCCAGGGGGGTCTGGGGAGGTCAGGGATGGGTCTGTCCAGAGGCCAGGGGAAAGTGAGGTCAGCGCCAAAGTTTGTCCAGGAGGCCCCCAAGGGAAGAGGCCGGTTGGAGGCTGGAGCGACAGCTCCCTCCTGAGGTCTGGAAGCCCCAGCACGTAACTGAGGCACCCAGACTGTTCAGATGCACTTAGCCCTCAGCTGCAGAGAAGTGGGGGACCCTTTCCTGTGCCCTCCAACCTCCTTAGCTGTCTGGCACCAGTCCCCTCGTATGCAAAAGGAAGGAACTGTGCTCCACCCAGGAAAGCAGCTGGGAGGAGGCACCCTCTCCCAGGGCAGAACCCCAGCCCAGATTCAGATTGTGGCCCAACTCCCTGGTCCAGCGTGAGGACCAAACCTCACACCTCCGCCCTGGCCCCACTCAGGGTCCCAATCCACGGCCAATCTGTGCCCAACAAACAGACCGGGAAGGCCTGGGTCAGAGCCAGTCCGAGACCCCAGCTACAACAAGTGGATGAGGGCCAGAGGCAAAGGGGCATTCTTGCGCTCGGGTTCCAAGGCACTGCCCCCCAGGCCACAAAGAGGGAGCAGGTGGAGAAATGATGTGGACATCTCAGAGGACCACAAGATCAGCGTGGGACTAGCGTTCCCTGGGTAGACATGGAGGGGTGAGACTGCAGAGGGCAGAGCCTGCTGCGAGCTCCTGCCCTGTCCTGCCCCATCCTGGCAGTTGCATGTACACACAGAGAAGGAAGGCAGGGTCAGCAAGCAGCAGCCTCTGGACTTGAAGACAAGAAGTGTTTGGCCCCAAGTAAAGACTTCTGGCAAACACTACGGTTGTGTGAATTTGGGAAGGAGCCCTGCGAAGCCCCAGTGCGGATCGTTGAGAGGCTCTGCCGGGAAGGCCGCCAGGGAGCCGGGGAGCTCATGTCAGGGACAGTTCCAGAGACCTGGGCAGACACCAAGCGCTGTTCCTCAGATTGGATGGCGTGGGGGGCAGCAGGGGCATTGGGGTCTCTGGCTCTGGCAGGTGGCCCCCAGCGGCGTGAGGGTAGAGCTAGGAGGAAGCAGGGTCCCGGGCTGTGGGGTCTGCTGGCGTCTGCAGCCGTAGGAGGGCAGCGTGCGGGAAGCGCCCCCATTCCCCCGCCGGCCCCTCAGCCTCCCTGTGTTCCCGCAGAGCATACACCTGAGCTTCCTTCGCACGGTGCCGCCCTACTCCCACCAGTCCAGCGTGTGGTTCGAGATGATGCGCGTCTACAGCTGGAACCACATCATCCTCCTGGTCAGCGACGACCACGAGGGCAGGGCCGCGCAGAAGCGCCTGGAGACGCTGCTGGAGGAGCGCGAGTCCAAGGTGAGGCCCGGGCCGCGGGCGGGAGGAGCCGAGGAGGAGCCGAGGAGCCGAGGAGCCGGAGGAGCCGGCGCGCTGCCTGCGCTGTGTCTGTGGCCCGTGTGTGAACACCCTTTCTTTCCATCGTGCGTGGTCAGCACCACTACGTCTGGCGAGCGCCCGCCCCAGCCTGTTCTCGGCTCATTTCACTCGCTTTGCCATTAGTCGCAATCTCCTTCGTGTCAGTCCCTGCGGGGCGAGGGCAGGACCACCTGGAGCTCCGCAAACACCCCACCCCGCCCAGCGCAGCACCCTCCGCCTCCCGCGGCTGCAAGGCCCGCCCCCGCCCCTTGCAGTTGCGCCCCCGTCCGCGCAGCCCCCCAGCCCCAGCGGGCCGCGG